AATAGGGATTTAATTTAAAAACCGATTGTTATATCTAATAATAAAACAGAAATTGTTAGGTCTTCTTAGTTTTATTCCTTTGTGTTTGGTCTTTATCTCCAATGAAAATTATTTCCTATAAAACAGTACCATGACTGACCACCTGCCTAAACCGGTGGCCTAGAGACTTGACATTTAAGGAAAATTATTCCTTGAATACGTACTAAAGGAATACAGTAAGAGGAAATTTTTTGAAGAAAGTTTCAATGATGAACCATTACAAAAATGCTAACGGGAGGACAGTCCCTCCGGGCTACACCGGAGGAAAATCTTCACCAGCCTCCTTTCTAGGTGGTGAAGAGATATGAGAAATTGTCTGTGGGATATCATTAGATTATTACTGCCCCAGCTTTTGCCTATGTGATTAAGAAAAGCCACAGAAAAAGATGAACCAGGAGGGATGAACTCGGAATCGAACCGATATGTCCTCCTGAATGCTAAGCGATGATCTTAACCTCTAGGCCAGGGGTCAACAAGTAATTTTATGTGAGGTTCAAATGTTACTAAAAATTTTTATTGAGGTCCAGAAAAAAGTATACTCCTTAATCCAAAAAATTGTTAAGAGTGGCGCTCAAAGCCTTAGCATAAATTATTATATACAAATAAATAAGTTTTTACTTTCAAAACATTTTTGGCGGTCGCCGTCGCTCTAGGTCATACCTCTCGCTGGAAAAACATTGCTCACAATATGAGACCTACGATTAGGGTTGCCACCCGTACTTTATTATAAAGTATTGTACTCTATTTCGACTGTGCGTACGTTATACTTTACAATGCACATAAAGTACGCAAAAATACTTTATTTAAGGCCTTAAGTAAACATCGTAATTTTGTAAGCGATTATTCGAAATTCAGAGTATTTTTACATCAATAATATTGCACAGAAAAATGGCAAGCCATATTTACGGAACAACCTGATTTCCCAAATCTGTTCAAAGTAGTGTCACTTTTGCTGTCCGTTCCGGCCACTTCAGCATTTACAGAAAGAGTATTCTCTGTTATGAACGCAAAGTGGCGGGACGACAGGAATAAAGCTTCATTAAAACTAATTAAAAATGAACTTTTAGTTTACTTAAATCTTTGTTTGCCATGTTTAGAGGCTATTAATGTATTTAAGAGCGACAGCAATTTGTTACTGGCTGCTAGGTGTAACAAAAAATAAGTTTAAAAACAAAAAATAAAATACTTTATTTTTATGCTGAGTACTTTTTTTTTAACCTTTTAGTCGAGAAATACTTTATGTAAAGCCTGAAAAGGTGGCAACCCTACCTACGATCTAAATGGGGAGACGGGTGGAGAAAATGGAGATAACAGTACAAAAGTGATTTTTAATGAAGGCGCAGAGATGAAGGGGCAAGGGGTGATGATGAAAAATCAAATAAAAAACGAATTGAACAGGGAAATCGATCCTACCTAAATGACGATAATTGCCTAATGACTACTCACTAAATATCGACTTACGCCCACCGAAGGGGGCGGTACTCGAATAATTCGATACTATCTTATTAAATATTTAGGACACGCAGACGACAACAACTGCCTTAATCGGGACTGTAACTGTAAATTTGAAATTTTATCTCTGCGAATAATAAAATGACTTAGACTTGATTGTGGAGTACCTACGATCCCATCCAATTTGTAAATAACAATATCTTATTTGTGAAGCCTAACATGGGTTATCTTATGAGAGGGTATCGCCGGTTAAACATATACGTAGGTCTGGACCCAGAGGCTTTCGAGGTTAATACTTAAGTCTTAGGTTTTAAAATGAAAATGGTTATAAGGAAACATAGAAAAAGTAGAAGCTATAGTTACATATTAAGTGGTTGCGGGGGGTACAAATGAGTTTCATCAGTTTCTTCACCTCCAACTAACGTTCTCAAATTTTTTTTGTTTAGATTATTCTCGACGGGGGAAATCTTCAAAAGACACCACCTGAAGGGACTAAAACCGCTCCTCGAGTGGGGAAATAATCGTGTTCTCGATCTCGCGTCAACTATTTATAGAGGCTGACCGTGTTTCTAGAATGATCTAGTATATGCCGTCTAGAAACCTGGTCTTCTTTGCCACTATGTATGTTTAGTTGCCTACATACATGTGACAGTATTTTATAGTTGTACATTTGTACCCTACGCGACCACTTGATATGTAACTATAGTTTCTACTTTTTCTGCGTTTACTTATAATAATTTTCATAGTAAGGTCTTCAACCCTAAGACTGGTAAGACACACACCTCCACTCCATTCTATCTTGAGTCAATCTTCGTATTTCTATAAGACTTGAGCAATCTATACATCATCATTATCATCATAAGGTCGTCAGTCCTAAGACTGGTTGGACACGCACCTCCACTCTTTCCTATCCTGAGCTAAACTTCGCATTTCCCTAAAACTAGATAAACCAAAATCCTTAACTATTTGTGACCAGTAATCTAACCCTCCTAACTCACGTTTCTGCCTCTAATATGTTTCTGACTAGACCTTCATGTCTGAGAGGGTGTCCTACCAACCTATCTCGCCTATTTTTTATTGACTTCCATAGAGTCCTCTGTTCTCCTATTCTTTCTAATGCCTCTTCATTTCTAACCTTTTCTACCCACGATATCCTCATCATCCGCCTATAACACCACATTTCGAACTCTTCTAACCTTTTCTTTTCCGTCGCGCCCACTGTCCATGCTTCGCACCTGTACAAAGCCGTGCTCCAAACTTACACCTTTAACAACCTTTTTCGAATTTCTAAATTAAGCGTTCGCGAGCGTAGAAGTGACTTCTTTTTATTAAAGGGGACACGACCCTGCGCTATCCTCTGCTTTATATCCCTATTACTCTTTCCCTCCTGACTTATCTGACTTCCTAGATATCTAAAATCAGCCACTTCTTCTAATTTTTCGTCTCCTATCTTTATATTCGCTCTTTCCCTACTTTTTCTTCCCTTGCATACCAATATTTTTGTTTTACTTTTATTTATTTTCATACAGTACTGATCTGTCAGTACCGCTTCCATTTTATTTAAAACTATCTCTAGGTCCTTCTTCCTAGATGCTAATACTGCTATATCACCTGCAAATCTAAGCATACTAATCTTTTGCCCCTGTAAATGTATACCTACAGTTGTAGTGTCTTTAATGATGCAACCTATACACAGAGAGAAAAATCTTAGAACAATTACCGTGCTCTTCACTATAAAGTGACTACAAGAAATTTGCATTGACAAAATTCAATACTAATCTGATAATTTTTGTAAGAGAATCTTCTGAACTTTACTAGAAAGCATAGGAATTTTTAGTATAGTAGCACCCAGTAAGGGTATGGTAATTTTTCTGATTTTTCTTCGTGTATCTTTAGTTACAATTTGCCAACAGAAGTGAGTGTAATATTGCTCTACGTCTACCCCTCATAACTACTATTTCTGCTTCTGATATACTAAACCGAAAATCATGGCCTAGAGGTATAAACATTGCTTAATTTTTTTTTGTTTAATTCTAGGTCCGTCTGCTGTGATCTAACTTTTTCAATGGTTTCCTTAAATTGCTGACTGCCCACCTGCATTAGTAGCTGGTGGGAATGAAGCACCCCAAAATTTTTGATATCCCCAACTAGCTCTTCATGTCTATCCTCGTCTACTTTTTATTGACATAACGCTCTCTGTTATTCTCCTACTCTTTGGAATACCTCCTCATTTCTAACCTTTTCTATCCACGGAATTTTTAACATCCTCCTATTACACCACAACTCAAACACTTCTACTGTTTGCATAATTATAAAAAGTGATCGCAAATACGAGAATGTCTTAGTAATTAAACGAATTATTTTATCTTATTCCTGTTTCCAGAAAATCAAGATGATTTATGTCAATTTTAAAAAAAATCTTACAATAATTTATTAACAGTGTTACATATTATACTGGGTCAATCAATTCTAGTGCCTCTTATAGAAAAATGAAATACAGTGTAAACTCTATATGACGACACTTAAGGGACTGAACATTTTTCGGCGTTATAAAGAGTGGTCGTTAAATGGAGAGAAATAAAAGATATTATTTTACTATTCTATAATAATATGCATTTACCAATATAGCACACATTTTGCACACGAACATTATTATTCATACATTGCGTATAGCCTGTTATCTTCGTCTGATGTTTTTTGCTGTTTCAATATTTTAATTGTATTTTGTTACGTATCTTACTCATATCTTGAGATACTGCTGGATCAATTTGATTATATAGAAAGTATTTTTTTAATAGTTTCGCTGCATCAAGTGCTTGTTTGATACTTGGTGGAGGGACAGGATCGTCTTCTTCAACAACGTACACAGCTGCATTTCTTATCTATTTCGGCAACTTAGAAAGTACTGCTCAATTGTTGTCGTTAAATAGAGTGAGCGTGACGCTATATAGAGCGTAATATTGTATAGAAAACAATGTAAACCAACCAAAGTCAAGCAATTTCGACGTTTTAAGGAGTTTGTCGTTAAATCGAGTAACGTTATAAAGAGTTTACACTGTATATCTATATTATAGAAAGTCCGTTAGTGGTATCAAAGTTACAGGAATTGCTTTACAAGTAAAACTTAATGCTTTATTTCCCCAAATTTATATTAAAACCGCTTAAAGTCTTTTATCCTTCTACTCATTTGAGATCGTTGTTAAACAAACGTTTTTTTTTAGTATAATTTGTGAGAATCAACAATGCTTTTTATTTGCGAAGTAAACCACAAATTTCCATCGAGTAGACTTACGATTAATTATTTTAGTGAAAAGTATATATACAACATTATATTCCAAATAATTTTAGACAGATATAATTATCTTTTAGTATAATTTAAACGTAGACGTTACAATTTTACAATAACTGTTTTTTTTTTTGTATTTTTAAAGCATCCAATAACAACTTATTTTGCGATCAATTCATTTTATGTTAAATATTTTTATTTCGTGTTATACTTAATCACTTACAAAAATATTAACACTATCCACAAAAAGATAACCGTTGAAAAACTTCGCGCACTTCAACAATGGTTCATTGTTACTAAATAGTCGTCAACCCCGATCGAAAAACAACAAACACGTCGAGCTTTAGAAGCTTTTTCGGCACGTTCCGCCGTCGCACCCGAATCGACACTGTTCACCCGCTTAAACCGATTAATATTTTAAGGGCCTGCTCCTGCTCGCACCCCTACAAACGCACGGGCAGGAAACACGGAGAGAATCCTTGCGCTCATGCGCCCAGACGCGCGCGACGCCGCTGAAAATTCCACAGGTCGCGGTCTCTCTTACGTTAATACCTATCTAATTAGTTCTGATTATTAACAAGACCGCATTGGTTCATATAGTATGTACGTACTACTATGCACAGTGGAAACTTCACAAATTTACCGATAGAAAACTGAAGCTTCTGTATCTACTTCAACTAGTACGGACCTAAGTAAAAGTATTGAATAAATATGTTGTCAAGAATTTAAGTGCGCTTTTATAAAACTCAAATATTTTAGGTTTATTAACAGTTTCTCATCGTCAACTTATTTAAGTGAAGAGCTACCTTCAAAGCTCTAGCACAATCAATTTCTGCAGTATTTTCTATCATAGGTAATAATGTTTCAAAAAGTAACAACTAATTTATTTTGCAGTCCAAAATTTAAGTGCACATTTATAAAATCCATATTTTAGCACTTTTTAATAAGTCAGAAGATATCGTCAATCCACTTGTACAATCACATTCTGCAACATTTTTTTGTATACTCTATATTTAAAAAATTTACAAATAATTTGTTTTGATGGCCAAAATTTAAGTGCTCTGTGATAAAACCCATATTTTAAGCGCTTTTTAATAATTTGTCATCGGCAATTTATCCAAGTGAAACAGCATGAAGAGATATCGTCAAATAGCTTGCACAATCTGATTCTGAAGCATTTTCTATCTATAATGAAAGTCTCACAATGTGACAAATAATTTGTTTTATAGCCCAAAATTTAACTGCGCTTTTGTAAGTCCGAATTTTTCAATTTTTGTAATAGTTTCTCGTCGCTGACTTATATAAATGAAAAGAAATCGTTAAATCGCTTGCACAATCTGATTCTGAAACATTTATTATCTATAATGAATGTTTTACAATCTGACAAATAATTTGTTTTGTAGTCCAAAATTTAAGTGCGCTTTTTTAAATCCGGATTTTTCACGGTTTTTTATAGTTTCTCATCGCTAACTTTTATAAATAAAGAGATATCGTCAAATTGCTTGCACAATCTGATTCTGAAGCATTTTGTGTCTATAATGAATATCTCACAAAGTTACAAGTTATATGTATTGTAGTCCAAAATTTAGGTGCGCTTTTATAAGACCATATTTTTGACGTATTTTTTATAGTTTCTCATCACTAACTTATCTAAATGAATAGATATCGTCAAATCACCTGTACAGTATGATTCTGAAGCATTTTTTATCTATAATGAATGTTTCACAAAATGACAAATAATTTCTATTCATCATCATGATAAGGTCGTCAGTCCTAAGACTGGTTGGACACGTACCTCCACTCTTTCCTATCCTGAGCTAAACTTCGCATTTCCTTAAAACTAGAACAACCCACATCCTTAACTATTTGCGAACAGTAATCTAATCTAGGTCTACCCTTTCTAACTCCTATTTCTGCCACTAATATGTCTCTGACTAGACCTTCATTCCTAAGAAGGTGTCCTACCAACCTATCTCGCCTATTTTTTATTGACTTACATAGAGTCCTCTGTTCTCCTATTCTTTCTAATACCTCTTCATTTCTAACCTTTTCTACCCACGTTATCCTCATCATCCGCGTATAACACCACATTTCGAAAGCTTCTAACCATTTCTTTTCCGCCGCGCCCACTGTCCATGTTTCGCACCCGTACAATGCTGTGCTCCAAACATACACCTTTAACAACCTTTTTCAAATTTCTAAATTAATCGTTTGGCGAGCATAGAAGTGACTTCCTTTTATTAAAGGCGACACGACCCTGCGCTATCCTCTGCTTTATATCCCTACTACTCCTTCCCTCCTAACTTATCTGACTTCCTAGATATCTAAAATCAGCCACTTCTTCTAATTTTTCGTCTCCTATCTTTATATTCGCTCTTTCCCTAATTTTTCTTCCCTTGCATACCAGTATTTTAGTTTTACTTTTATTTATTGTGATCCAAAATTTAAGTGCGCATTTAGTCCTGAATTTTTAGCACATTTTTAGAGCTTTTCAATAATTTGTCATCGCTATATTATCTAAATGAAGACCTATCGCCAAAGCGTTTCCACCATCAAATTTTGCGGAATTTTTTATCTATAATAAATGTTTCAGAGTATAGCAAATAATTTGTTTTAACATTCAAAACTTAACTGCAGTTTTATGAATCCCATTGTTTTTACGTTTGTTGATAGTTGCCGTTCGATAACTTGCAATAATTTGTTACATTACTCATTGTTTTATACTCTATTTTAATAAAGCTACAACTGCTGACGCTGACTCAATTGTTCACTGTCCTTGATATAATAATCAGTCCTTTGTCATCTGTTTTAGCGGTCGCACGTTAAACTTAGGATTAAAACAGCACTACGTAGAACGGAAAATTACACGGAAAATCGGCAACCATTTAGTGAATATTAAGTTGGTGTTTTGTTTATATTTGTATGCAACCACATTCGTTCCAAAGGGATAAAGCGACTGTTTATATTACCTACCACTAATTCTTTGCATAATATATTGGATACCTACCAAAACATCTTTTGGTAAGTGATTGAATTTTTCTTGGTAACTATTTTCCGAGTACAATGTTTGATCCTTAACTTGTATCGTGGTGTATTTTAACACCCCTTTAATACTATTTTTACACGTATTTATCTAGAGTTTTTATTCTAGTACATTTTTTTTTCAAATAATCCACAAATTTTCATCTTTCAAAAGTAATTTTATTTAGGATGTTCAAAAACCCCTCTCGATACTATCAACTTTTTTGGCGAAACACCACTGTACATAAGGGTTAAATATATTTGCCCCTTTCGACAAACCAAAATTTTGTTTTCATGTAAATTATTCTGTATTTTTGTGAATAATTTTATTTCCAATTACCTATTTTACCAGCGTGTACACACTTTTTAGCAAAAAAAGATCAGATTGCATTTTTAAAATTAAAGGTCCATATGTAGTTTAACAAAATTTATTTGAAAATCGTCGACTTTTACGATTTATTATTTATTTCGTTTCATAAAAAACTCACAAAATGTGGCAGGATTATGAACTCTCCAGTTTTAGTCCAAATGAACTGTTCTTCGGATTTTAAAATTTATAAAAAATTACCTCTTGAACACTTTCTCCTTTGTATTATTAAAGATATTAAAATTAATTAATTAATTAATCTACTAATTGTTTATCTTTTAACTATCCAAACCGAATAAACTTTTTTGTACATTTATTAAATCCCTTTTAGGTATTTACCGTTATCTTGTTCATAACTCAATTATTTATAGTTTATTTCTTTATCAAATAATTTGTTCGATGTTTTTTTGTGCATTGGTGTATTTGAGCTCTTTTACATTATGAAAATTATTGGAGTTTAGTGATGAATAAATAAAACAATAAAACCACATTCTTACACGTCCTGTACTAAAAGTTATTATTTATGACAAATAGAACCCAATAATATTAACAATAAATAGGAAAGTGTTTTCATTAACTTATCTCAAGATTATTGACGTTTTTGGCAGACTTTAAAACTTTTATTTTGGGACTTTGGTGCCCAGAAATTTGATTTTCTTTTTTACAGTGAAATTAAAATTATAATTGAACTTAAAATAATCAAAAAAGTCCGTTCTTTGGAGACGTTTTTAGCTGACCTTGAAAGTTTTATTTTTGGATTTCGATACCCAAAGACCTGATCTTTTCGCCAATGAAAACAAATTTGGAATTGGGTTTGAAATAAAGAGCTATAACCGTTATCTCCATATTTTAGCACTTTTTAATAAGTCAGAAGATATCGTCAATCCACTTGTACAATCACATTCTGCAACATTTTTTTGTATACTCTANTTTTATTGTAAAATCGATTTTACAACAAGAAAACCTTTTAAACCAAATCTCTGTTTGATTAAACTTCTTATTTATTAAGTTCTATTGTTCTTTGGCCTTGGGCTATTATTATCTTTTATGTGAAAGATTTTATTCAAAACAAACGTATGGACGGTTTTGTATCTAGGCATTTATTTTATCAAACAATGAATAATCGAGGAAAATTAAGTAAATTGAATTAATTAAGTAGGTTTTCTTTTTCCCGAGTTTTAAAATTGCAATTCTAGTGGTGGAAATTTCACGTGCGCTTTTTTGCGCTCATACAGTTTTACGTATGTTTATTAATATTGATCACGTATGTGGCTTATTTTATTATCAACTGAAAAATTATTATCACCAGAAGATTCTGCTGTCTTCTCTGAACATATTCCCTACTTTCAGTGTTTTAAAATTGCAATTTCAATGGGGGGAATTTCACGTGCGCTTTTTTATGCTAATACAGTGTTACGTATATTTGTTAATATTGATAACGTATGTGGCTTATTTTATTATCAACTGAAATACTACTATCACCATAAGATTTTTAGTATAAATAACCAGTAAAAATTTGTTTTAGAAATTAGTGCGTTATTTTTATTTGAATTAAACCTTTTTAATATTGTATTTCAGAAAGAATGTCTTTGTTTGCGTATTTAATAATATGCGGGGGCTAATTCAAGAAACTAATAAGACAAAGTTCAAAGCTCTTTTATTGTTTGAAGACTATACCATTATCGAAGTGGTAGTTAGCTATTGTTAGGCGTTTTTGGGTATTTTAAAGCATTTCTTGGTACTGAAAATATATCTTTTAACCTTTGTTTCGAGCGTAACTTTCTATCTTTTATTCTCCGAATACTTTCTCCCTTTAACAGTCGTATGCTTGAACGGTCGACCGACAGAACAAGACATTTTGGTTCATTTTACTATAAATAGCCATTAAAAATTTATTTTTGCGTTATCTTTATGTAATTAAAACCTTTTTAGATTTGTATTACAAAGTGAATGTCTTAGTTTGCCAATTTAATGGTATGAGGGGGTTAATTTCGGAAACTAACAACCCAAAGTTAAAAACTCATTCATTGGTCAAAAGCCTATTTTAAAGTTTTGTAAGCATTTTAAAATATTTTTAGGGAATTTTCGTATTGTATCAATTAAATTTTCTTTAGTTGAAATTGTATTGAAAAACAGTTGACACCACGTTATTCCCCACATATTTACACATGAATTTCACCTCTTGGATCATTTAGAATAATTATTTAACAGATCGAAAATTGAAGTGCGCTTTTTTATGTTTACAATTTTTACGTAATTTTCGTATTGTAACAATTAAATTTTCTTTAATTGAAATTGACTTGAACAACTGTTGGCACCACGTGATTCCTCACATATTTTCACATGAATTTCACATATTGAATCTTTCAGAATAATTGTTTAACAGATCGAAAATTGAAGTGCGCTTTTTTATGTTTACAATTTTTATGTAATTTTCGTATTGTAACAATTAAATTTTCTTTAATTGAAATTGTATTGAAAAACTGTTGGCACCACGTGATTCTTCACATATTTTCACATGAATTTCACCTATTGGATCTTTCAGAATGATTGTTTAACAGATCGAAAATTGAAGTGCGCTTTTTTATGTTTACAATTTTTAGGTAATTTTCGTATTGTATCAATTAAATTTTCTTTAATTGAAATTGTATTGTAAAACTGTTTGCACCACGTGATTCCTTCAAACCTTATTTTCTTATTCTTTACATAAAACTTTTCATTATTTTGATTTAGTTTAACTTCATTCAAATCTTCAGTTTTTAGTAATTTTTCATGAAACTTCTTTCATGTAATTTATTGTACCTTAATTTGCATCTTTTTTATCATC